TCGAAAAATTTAAGCATCGAAATGTTGAAAAATCGAGAAATCGAAAAACGAGCATTCAGAACATCGAAAAATCGAGAAATCGTGAATGGAAAAATAAAAAAATCTAAAAATCTAAAAAACGAATGTCAAAAAAATCGAGAAATTTGAAAAATCGAAAAATTAAAAACCGACAAACCTAAAACAGAGAAATCGAAAAAAATCGAAATATTGAAAATCTAAAAACATCAAAAAATTGAAAAATCTAACATTTAAAAATTGGAAAAAATTGGAAAATCGAAAAATTTAAAATTTAAAACATCGAAAATTAAAATCTCGAAAAATTGAAGAATCGTACACTTGAAAAACTGGGGAATAGAAACACTAAAAAATCGAAAAATTGAAAAATTGACGGATCCAAAAATTGAAAACCAAAGTATCGAAATGTTAAAAAATCCAAAAACTGAATGATCGAAAAACTGATAAACCGATAAATCGAAAAACTGAGAAATTGAGAAGTCGAAAAGTTGAGAAATGGAAAATATAAAAAATCGAGACATTGAAAAATCAAAAACCTAATGATCGAAAAAAAGAAAAAAAGAAAATGTAAAAACTGAAAAATCAAAAAATCAAAAGTGTTAAAAACCTAAAAGTTGAAAGAAAAATCGGAAGATCGACAAAATCGACATCAAAAGATTGAAAAACGTAAAAGTTAAAAATTCTAAAAATTGAAAAATTGAAAAATAGAAAAATCTAAAATTTACAAAACCAAAAATTAAAATGTCGAAAAATTGAAGAATCGGATTACAATTGAAAAATTTAAGAAATCGAAACACTAAAAAATCGAAAAATTGATAAATCCAAAAATTGAAAAACCGATAAGATAAAAAATCGAGAGATCGAAAAATCGAAAAATTTAAGCATCGAAATGTTGAAAAATCGAGAAATCGAAAAACGAGCAATCAAAACATCGAAAAATCGAGAAATCGTGAAATGGAAAAATAAAAAATTCGAAAAATCTAAAAAACGAATGTCAAAAAAATCCAGAAATTTGAAAAATCGTAAAATTAAAAAACCGATAAACCTAAAACAGAGAGATCGAAAAAAAATCGAAACATTGAAAATCTAAAAACATCAAAAAACTGAAAAATCTAAAATTTAAAAATTGGAAAAAATTGGAAAATCGAAAAATTGAGGAATCGAAAAATTTTAAATTTAACACATCGAAAATTAAAATATCGAAAAATTGAAGAATCATACAATTGAAAAACTGGGGAATCGAAACACTAAAAAATCGAAAAATTGAAAAATTGACAGATCCAAAAATTGAAAACTCAAGTATCGAAATGTTAAAAAATCCAAAAACTGAATGATCAAAAAACTGATAAACCGATAAATCGAAAATCTGAGAAATTGATAAGTCGAAAAGTTGAAAAATGGAAAATATAAAAAATCGAGACATTGAAAAATCAAAAACCTAATGATCGAAAAATTGAAAAAAAGAAAAATGTAAAAATTTATAAATCGAAAACTCGAGAAATAGAGAAATGGGAAAACCAAAAAATCGAAAAATCGCTTAATCGAGAAATCGAAAATTTAGAAACTCCAAATCAAAATATGTAGTATAAATTCAAAAAAATCCAAATTAAAAACTGAAAAACTCAAAGATTTAAAATTGAAAAAATCTATAAATCGAAAAATCGAAAAACTGAAAAATCGAGAAACTGAACAATTGTTAAAAACCTAAAAATTGAAAAACAGAAAAATGGAAAGAAAAATCGGAAGATCGACAAAATCGACATCAAAAGATTGAAAAATTGAAAAATTTGAAAATCTAAAATTTAAAAAATCGAAAATTAAAATGTCGAAAAATTGAAGAATTGAGAAATCGAAAAGTTGAAAAATCGAAGAATTGAAGAATAAAAAATTATTCAGAGAAGTAGAAAAAAATCGAAAGATTGAGAATCAAAACATCAAAAAATTGAAAAATCTAAAATTTGAAAATCTAAAACTTAAAAATTGAAAAAACTTGAAAAATCGAAAAATTGAGAAATCAAAAAATTTTAAATTAAAAAAATTGAAAGTTAGTGTCGGAAAATTGAAGAATCGATCAACTGAAATGGTGAAAAATCGAAAATATTAAAAATCCAAAAATTGGAAAAACAAAAAACTGAAGAATTGAAAAACTGAAATCGAAAGTCGAGCAATCAAAACATCGAAAAATCGAGAAATCGTGAAATGGAAAAATAAAAAATCGAAAATTCTAAAAGTCGAAATGTCAAAAAAACCTAGAAATCGAAAAATCGAAAATTTTAAGAACCGGTATGTTGAATGAAAAAATGGATATTCAGTATTTGGATAAATCTGAAATATGCATAAATCTGAAATGCTGAAAAATTGAAGAATCAAAAAATTGAAAGATTGAGAAATCGAAAAGTTGAAAAATCGAAGAATTGAAGAATCAGAAAACTAAAAAAACGAGCAAACGAAATTCCCGAAACTGAAATCTCGAAAAATCAGAAAATCGAAACAAAAAAAATTAAAAATTGAAAAATTGAAAGATCTAATTTGAAAAAATCGATAATCGAAAAATCGAAAAACTAAAAAATCCAGAAATTGAACAGTTGAAAAATTTAAATTTGAAAATCTCTATTAATCCAGAAATCGAAAAATCGAAAAATTGGAAAACCGAAAAATTGAAAAATCCAAAAATCGATGTTACAGATCGAAAAATTGAAAAATCTAAAACAGAAAAGTAGAAAGAAAAATCGGAAGATCGACACTCAAAACATCAAAAAACTGAATAACGTAAAATTTAAAAAATCCAAATATTGAATAATCGAGAAATCGAAAAATCGAAAAATTTAAAAATCGAAATGTTGAATAAAAAATCCCAAAACTGAAATATAGGAAAATTGATAAATCGATAAATCGAAAAACTGAAATACTGAAAAATTGACGAATCGGAAAACTGAAAGATGGAGAAATCGAGAAAAGTTTGAAAATCGAAGAATTAAGTAATCAAAAATTATTCATTATCTAAAGTATAAAAGTAGGAAGAAGATTGTAACATATGATCGAAAAAAATGTCCTCCAGTAGACCATGAATTTTATTTTTATAATAATGATGTTGGCAACACGAATGGAGTCTTTGCTTAACTTGAGTTATGCTCAAATAACTGTCAAATAAAGTGTCAAATAGCTGATGCAAACCTCACTATTTTTAAAATTAATTTCATAGCCTACTAGACGACTTTTTTCGGCCCAGTTAAATTCACATTGAACATTATTTAAAAAATAAATTTCATGCCCTACTAGAGGATTTTTTTGCCATCATATACATTTGTTACGCACGATCTTGTCAAAATTATACATATAAAAAAAATAGCGTGACAGAAAAACACTAAATTTCCAATTTGTTTCTCGAAAATCACCAATTATTCAAAAATTATTTTTATTTCAAATTATAAAAGACCGTATGCTACAAAAATGTCCTCTGGAATTTTTTTTCGAAATAATGATGTTGGCAACACGTTCCTTGACGGATTTGACAGTAACGGTCAAATAACTGCAATACCAACATCATTATTTTAAATATAAGTTTCATGGCATACTAGAGAATTTGTTAGTGATTTCATTTGCTTTTTTTATTATTAGAAAAAATTGAAAATATCACACAAATGAGTACAATAGTTTCATGTAAAGTATGCAGGGAATGTTTACTGTCACGTGTAAAGCATGAATTATGTATTATTGTTATTATTTATTCAAACAGCGTCGTCGTTTGCATAAGTTTTATATTTATTTATGATATTTTGTGGTCTAAAATAACGCTACTATCACGAGAATGCAATTTAATCCCGATGCACCTTTTTAGGTTAAGTGGCACTTCTTATCACCTCATTCTTTACAAATTAGATCAACGCATTTTTCGATTTTATCTAAGATAAGACTCGAGATAAAAAGTTCAACTCTCCCCTACGAAGAAAACCAACTCCAGCCAACTGATTTAATCGCGACTAGAAATTCGCAACAGGAGGAAACAAGACGCCGATTTGAGCTTTTGCCAAACTCTTACTCATTATAATATAGTTTAATTTAAATAACATACTTCATTTTTGTCAACCGACACAAAGAACCCACGTTACAGCCAATAAACTGAAAATGTCGGTTTTTCGAGGTAAATTTAGCAGTTGTTGACCAACATTCAGCCTGTATCTCCGGTCCTATTTATAATAAAAGGTTCAAACGAAGGAAAGTTTCTCAGTAAAATATTTTTCCAAAAATTTCAAACAGTTGGCTTATCGCAATAAAACTAAGAATTCCCCACTGATAAACGCTTTTTATAATTTTATGCTTACTCAGTTGTAACGAGTTTTTGTCTACACAACCTTGCAATTCCAACAACCGTAATATAATAACCGAAATTCCAGTTCAGTTTTGACTCTACAATCAAAATTCAATTATTAGAAAAACGTAGCATTTCAAACACAAAAACAATGCAAAGTGTGATTTTCACCTTGAGTGCGGTGCACTCTGTCTTTGACACAGTTAAGTCTGGAAAAAAATTTTGGCACGGCGTTAACGACTCTTCCAATATTTGGAAGTCGCTCTAAATCAAAATCAAATAAATTCGCCAATAAACAATAACGACATTCCTGGCCAATTAAAAACCGTCCAAAATATTTGTTCAATAAATTGTCACATCTCTGAGTGATCAATAAACGTTGTGATAGTCACGATCAACATTTCACGGTTCATGCTCCACCAGAGTTACCTTTTTTGCCCGAACTAATTAAAACGTGCCACAAGAACAAAACGAACAAAGACTTGACGCGTATTACAGAAATGCGCTTTTTATGGCAAAAGTGACCTTATTCTCGGAGCACGTTTAAGCCAAAATTGTAGGTAAATTGCTGAGTAGAAATTAAATGATTGGCTAATTGTCGCATGAGCTGAATTTAGTATGAGTGTTAAAAAATAACACTGACTTAACATAAGTGTACGATTTTCCGAGCACTTACCTTGGAAAATTGGTAACAGGTGAACTCTCACTGGGACAGCTTGAGGTGTATGAGCTTTGCGCGGCAAAACTTCAACTGCTCGCATCCATAATTTGATTCAAGATAGAAGTGGGATTTGTGCACAAACAAGTGGGGGAATAATAATTAAATTGTTATTTTATTTTATTATAACGTGTTGCTCACACCTATTTTCAAAGTTGCACTAGCAGATGCACAAATCCGGAAAAATCGTGGAGCTTTCTGCGTCAAAACTTCGATAATTTCCACATAGAAATGATATAAATGTTTATATTTAGCTTATGTAGGTACCTCAAAACATCAATTGTTTAATAAACGATCTGCCTCCATGCCATAATGCACTCCTACTCTGCAACAGAAATAGAGGCTATTAGTTTTTATTAGAACAAAGTGTGCATTTATTTATTTATGGCGTTTGAATTTGTCGTTTGTCGTTGGGTGGTGGCTCGCTCGCGTTCTTTTTATATTGAAATTGGAGAAATTTAGAAATTTTCTGGCCACGGAGCCGCGATTGTCTAATTATAACAATGAAGGTTACTTCGGCTTATTTAAATGCTTGATAAATTGTTCTTTGGGTCCATTCCGTAAACAAACTTGTAATTCTTGCATTTTTTAGCTAATCGGTGTTTACTTTTCAAAATGGTCTGTTTAATTTTTTATTATCGAGTCAAGTCATCTCTGCGTGTTACGGTCGACGTTATTAAATTATGCAATTTGCACTATTACAAAGCGAAGTGAGTACATAAAAGTTTGTTTCCAAAATTATTGCATATTACGAGAGTGCATTATGTAATAGGAAACAGAAGCAGTAAAACTCCATTCGTTTTATTTTAATAATTAGTTGTTTCATTAGTTTGTAGGGGACATTTAAATTAATTTAATTAAACAACAAAACGAAGTTTAATTAATTTACCTTTTTTTTCTGATGGAAGTATCATGTAACAAATAATCGATTTACATGTCAAAGGGTTGCCAACAGATTATTGACATTAAGTACACTGATAACAATAACAAATGAGCACCGATAAGGATGCACACTACACTTTTTAAATTGAAAACAGCATACTTACTGATATACGATTTATTAAATTTAACGGGTGTTGTTTACAACATAACATACTCCTACACGTGTAGTTTATGAATCCGTGTTGAGTTTTTCCAGACATCTATATTTTTGGAAAAAAAAATTAACTTTGACTGCAATTGCTCTGAAATCTTGCTACCCCTTCCCAAAATCCGTGTTGAATTTTTATCCTAGACAACGAGATTTTTGAAAAAAAAATCAAAATTGTATAACAAGTTTTCGAATTTTGCCGATAGGCTTCACAACTTTTGTATTTCTCGATTTTTCGACTACTTCGATTTTTTATACTTGAATTTTGGGATTTTTCGAATTTCCTGTTACACGATTTTTTATTTTTTGATTTCTCAATTTTCCGATATTTCGGTTTTATTTCTCGATTAATGGATTTATCAATTTTTCGATCTTTAGTTTTGATTCGATTTTTCGATTCAGTTTGTTTCATTGTTCAATTTTTATACACTTTAATTTTTTGATTTTTCGATTTCTCGATTTTTGATTTTTCGATTATTTTTAATTTTCAATTTTTTGGTGTTTCGATTTCGATTTCCTTTAATTTTTCTTTCAGCTTCTCGGTTTTAGAAATTTCGTTTTTTGCTTTTTGGATTTTTAAATTTTTTTTGACATTTTAACTTTTAGATTTCTCGATTTTTTGAGAATCAGACTTTTAGATTTTTCCATTTCTCGATTTCTCGACTTTTCGATGTTTGGATCGCTCGACGTTTCGATTTCTCGATTTTTCAGTTTTTCAGTTCTTCAGTTTTTCGATTTTTTAATTTTTCAATTTTTATGTTTCTGATTTTTCAATTTTTCGTTTTTTAATATTTTCGATTTTTCGATTTAGGATTAATCAATTTTTCGATATTTCAGTTTTGAGATTATTCAACATTTCGATTCTTAAATTTTTCGAGTTTTCGATCCTTCGTTTTTTTTATCTTTCCGCTTTTTCTATTTTTGAATTTATCAATTTTTCAATTTTTTTATTTTTTACATTTTTGGATTTCTCGATTTTTCGATTTTTCAACTTTCGATTTTCAATTTTCCGATTACTTTAGTTTTCAATATTTCAGTTTTGGGATTTTTCAATTTTTCAATTCAATTACTCGATTTTGTCCTTTTTTTAATTTTTCAATTTCCCAATTTTCCGATATTTCCGCTTTACGATTTTTCAATTTTCTAATTCTTCAATTTTTCGATTTTTTAATTTTTCAAGTTTTGGAGTCTCTAAATTTTCGATTTCTCGATTTTTAAACTTAATCGATTTTTCGTCTTGTCGGTTTCCCAATTTTTTTTGACATTTTGACTTTTAGATTTCTCGACTTTTCGATGTTTCTTTCAATTGTACGACGTTTCAATTTCTCGATTTTTTAGGTTTTCAACTCTTCAATTTTTCGATTTTTTAATTTTTCATTTTGTCGGTTTTTAGGTTTTCGATTATTTAATTTTTCGATTTTTAATATTTTCGGTTTTTCAACTTCCGATTTTCAATTTTCAGATTATTTCAGTTTTCAATACTTCAATTTTGGGATTTTTCAATTTTCCAATTCAATTACTCCATTTTTTTCAAATTTTCGATTAATCGATTTTTCGACTTGTCGGTTTCCCGATTTTTTTTACATTTTGACTTTTAGATTTTTCGATTTTACCATTTCCCCATTTTTCTCGACTTTTCAATTTTTTTTCGATTATTCGACGTTTCAATTTCTTGATTTTTTAGTTTCTCAATTCTTCAATTTTTCGATTTTTTAATTTTTCAATTTCTCGGTTTTTAGGTTTTTAATTTTTCAATTTTTCGATTTTTAATATTTTCGATTTTTCAACTTCTCGATTTCCCAGTTTTTCAATTTTGCTATTCTTCATTTTTTCGTCGATTTTTCAGATTTTCAATTTTTTGACTTTTTTTGTTTTTTAATATCTCGATTTTACCATTTTTCGATTTTTCAGTTTTTCAACATTTTAATTTTCGATTTTTTAAAATTCAGATTTTTTTTGGTTTAATTTTTCGAATTTTTGAACTATAGATTTTTCAGTTTTTTGATGTTTTGATTGTCGATCTTTCGATTTATCTTTCAACTTTAGGATTTTTCGTTATTTTAATTTTTTGATTTTTAAAATTATTGATTTTTCGGTTTTTCAATATTGATTTGTGGATTTATTGAGCCTTCATTGTTTTTTTTTTAATTTTAAAATTTTCAATTATTAATTTTTGAATTTTTCGAATTTATGCTTTTTCGATTTTCCAGTTTTTTGATTTTTCGACTTTTCGATTTGTTGATGTTTCAATTTTTCGATGTTTTCGATTTTCTGATTTCGAGATTTGTCGATTTTTGACTTTTTGACCTTTCAACATATCGATTTTTCAATTTTCCGAAGTTTCGGCTTTTCAGTTTCTCTATGTTCCAGTTTTTGGGATTTCAATTTTGGGATTCCCATTTTCTCGATTTTTGAATTTTTCGATTCATTAATTTTTCAGTTTTTCAATTTATCGACTTATTCAAATTTTTACAATTTTGTTATTATGTTTAGATTTTCGGATTTTCGACTGTTCAATTTCTCTGTCTTTTAAAATCAAAAGTTTTAAAAATCAAAACTTAAAAAACCGAAAAATCTGAAAAATTGGAAAAATGAAAAATCCAAAATTGAAATTGAAAAATTGAGAAACCGAAAACTGAAAAATCGAAATATTAAATAATCGAAAAACTGAATAATCGAGATATCAGAAAATTCCGAAACTGAAATCTCGAAAAATTGGAAAAACGAAAAATTGAAAAGTCCCAACCTCCAGTAATTAGAATATCGTTACATCGAAAAGCCGTAAGTTCAAAAATTTGAAAAACCTGGAAATCATCAAAAAATTGAAAAATCAAAAATTTAAAAAGTCGAAAAATTAAAAAATTGAGAAACCGAAAAATCAAAATCGGAGAAGTCAAAAAATCGAAAAATCGAGAAATCGAATCATCAGAAATTGAAAAATAAAAAATGCAACTGGAAAATAGAAGAATTGACAGATATAGAATTTAAAAAAACGAAAAATGAAATGTTGAAAAAATAAAGAATCGAAAAAATTGAAAAAAATTAAAATTTTGAAAAATTGGGAAATCGAAAACTTGAAAAATCGGGAAGTCGAAAAATCGAACCATTTGTGAAGTCAAGAAATTAAAAAATTAAAAAACCAAAAACTGAAAAATCGAGAAATTAGAAAATCCCGAAACTGCAATTTCGAAAAATTGGTTTACGAATCTGTGTTGGGCTTTTTTGAAAAAAAAAATCAAAATTATGCAACAATTTTTCGAATTTTCGATTATTGTAGGATTATAGGCTGTAGGATTTTTGGATTTCTCGATTTTTCGATTATTTCGATTTTTTATACTTGAATTTTGGGATTTTTTCTTCAATGTCTCGATTAATCGATTTTTCTACTTCTCGATTTCCCATTCTTTTGAGATTTCGACCTTTTTAAATGTTAAATTTTTCGATTTTTCAATTTTCGATTTTCAATTTTCCGATTACTTCAGTTTTCAATACTTCAATACTGGGATTTTTCAATTTGTCAGTTCAATTACTCAATTTTGTCAATTTCCGACGTTTCAATTTTACGATTTTTCAATTCGTTAATTGTTCAATTTTTCGATTTTTCAATTTTTCTAATTTTGACGTTTCTAAATTTTCGATTTCTCGACTTGTTGATTTCTCAATTTTTTTTGACATTTTGACTTTTTGATTTTTCAATTTTTCGATTTTTAATATTTTCTGTTTTTCAACTTCTCGATTTTTCAGTTTTTCAATTTTTCTATTCTTCCTTTTTTCTTCGATTTCTCAGTTTCAATTTTTCGATTTTTCTGTTTAGCAGTTTTTCGACATTTCAGATTTGGGAGTATTTAACATTTCCATTCTTAAATTTTTCGATTTTTAAATTTTTGGAGTTATCAGTTTTTCAATTTTTTTATTTTTTGGTGCTTTGATTTCTCGATTTTACAATTTTTCGTTTTTTTCAATTTTTCAACATTTTAATTTTCAATTTTTTGAATTTTTAAATTTTAGATTTCTCAGTTTTTTGATGTTTTAAGTAATTGTCGATTTTACCATTTTTCAATGTTCGGTTT